AAAAATTCAGAGCAGAACAGATAAAAGTGCAAGCAGACAATACAAAAAAAAAGGCTGAAAGAGAACAAACAGTATTTAGAAGTACTTTAACAGTGGTGAATATCTGTAGCAGAAACAACAGTCAGAAAAGCAACTTCAATTTGGATAACAGGGCGGAAAGCAAATCCTAGAGGAATACAAAGGAAAAATCCCCTAGATTAAGGCTACTAGACACTGAAATGCATTCTCAGAGGAGAGGTGCCACTCGAGCCATTTAAGAGTGGACCAGACGAAGTCTTGGAAGAAAGTATTACATCAAATTTTATATATAGTAATGAATAATCTGTCACAGAAGCAAATGACCTTGAAAGGTCTTTTCCATCTGTAGTTTCTACGGTTCTATGAAATATGAGTAATGTTCCACTAAAGAACTTGGTATCTATGGCAATGCACTAACCCCACTCTAGTTGTGTTAGCAAGCACAGCACTGCTAGAAAAGGGCTTTTTTTTACTAAACAATGAGTGATATTTTGGGAACCACTGAAAATCGCCCCCTAAAGCAAAGTTAGTTGAGAGACCACTGCAGGAAGTGAAATTCTGGCTCTGGACTCACAGGTACTTGATCTCCTGGTGGTCGAAATGAAGTGCATCTGAGTTCCTTAGGTTTTGGTTGGAAAAGGCATCTTGAGGCCAAGCCACACAGTAATAAAAAAGTCCCTACTGTCAGAAATATCCATATGCACTGGCAGGCTTTGGAAAGGAAACCACTAGCTCACATTCAGTTTGCAGCCAAGCCTAGGGGCAAGGCGATGGAGAGTAGAGCAGAAGCAATTAGAAGAATTGGATAACGAAGGGGACCGTTCACAAACAAAGGTTGAGTGGAGAATCAATTGTCTTCCTCACTCCTGAAAGTGCCTTATAAATCTCTTGTTTTGGACAATGAGATCTACTACTGTAAGGTATTTCCATTTATTTGCCTTTCTGACAGCCATTCCTTCTTTGTTTCTATGAAGTGAGGGCAGCCAGAGGGCTCACCTGCAACCCAGCCCACAGCAAGGGGCTTGGAGCTCAATGATCTTCAAGGTCTCCTCTAACCTCAGCCATTCTACCATTCTACCATGATTTTATGAAATTAACCACGTCTTTAACTTTCAGTCTAGATTGCTTTTTTCGTCCCGAGTCTTTGATTCCAAGTTTACATTTTATTTTCTTCTTTCATTTCTCTGATTTTAATTTCTATGCCATTTGCCTTGACACTGAGAAAAGGAGAATGGTTTGCTTTGTACACGGCAACTAGAAGTCCAGACACCTCAATATGCAGCCCTTAACTTCCAGAAGTGAAACAGAGGTCATTGACAGTATCTGCCCATCCACTCAGCATAAGGTGGTGCCACCAGTACCCAGTAAGAACACAGCTGGCCAGCCCACATCTACCTGTTTAGAAACTATTCAGCTGAGAACGGGAGGGTTTCCACATCACCACCAAGCCTTACATTCGTATAGCTAAAGAGAATGGAAAACTAGAAGTGCACTTCAGATTCAGAGGTCGTGTGAACAACGTGGAGAAGCATGTCTGTAGTTGAGACAAAAGATTTGTTCCTCGACTGCTATGAAGTTCTTTTTGACCAATTTTGCTTGCTCAAGCTGTGAAACACAGGAAAATCTTCTGACACCATTTAACCTTCACAAAGAACTCATTATTCATCAGGCTTTTCCTAGAAAAGCAAGAAAATGATTTTAATCCAAGGCCAAGCGTTAAATTCAACAGCTATTCTTGTTTTTCCACAGTTCCCAAAGATCACAAATTCCATTCCACCATAGATCCTCATTCCTCATTCTGTGCGCTCCGTTTGGTGATACAGATTTCCCTGCTGGAGGTGATTCAGCATTAAGCAGAGGATATTTGAGGTGGCAGAGATTCCTCACAGCCATTCAATGTTCTGCCCAGCTGAAAAGACTCCATTTGCTGCCTTTTATCTGAATGTGTTCCTTCAACCTCATCCATTCCCATGGAACTGGTAAGATCAGAGTAATAACTATGGGTAGAACAATTTTTCAGCTGGATTCTTGGATTGTTCATTAGCATTACGTATTTTTTAAACACATGGTTTTTTAGTCCCATGAAAACCTCAATGTCAAAAAATAAAAAGTGATGGGTCGTCCAAATTCTACTTGTGCACAGCTCACGCTTTAGAGAGGAACAAGGACTCAAGGAACTGGAGAGCAGTAAGAAATCCTGCTTTGAGAATGCATCAAAACCACCCGAAAGGATGGATGGGGTTTCAGATTCCTCACTGAAGTGGATCTGAAACAAAACACCATTTTCAATCTGTTAAGTCCTTACAGTAGAAGGCTCTACCTTCAAATAACAGTTCTGCACACAGTATATGAGTTTATAAAACTCTGCCCTTGCATGGCCAAGCATTGCAATCTGATTCACTGTTAATTACTTCTCCGTTAAAGCAAACCATTACCTCTGCAGATTTAATTCATGTATTTTTGTAGCACAGACAGAAAAGCAGGAACACAAACACACCGTGGCCACCGAAGCATTACACCTAAGCTATTAAAAGCAAAAGCCTCAGCATATGAAAATCGAGACATCTGACTCCTGAGGAAAATCAGTTTGAAACTAATATTGAAATACTGCCCTCCTAATAATCCCCAGTGCCTCCCAACAGCTCTGCAAACAGAGCAATCATCAGAGCAGGATGAACTGAGAGACCACGTTTGCTGCTGTTTGCTTACAGCAAAGGATGCCTGATGATTTGCTGCCACCTACATACTGCTCCCTTCTGGGTTAATTAAAAATAAGGACTTCTGAAATAAAGGCATTTACTACAATTGTAACTGGTATGTATGCAAGCTGCACAGCATATTGCTAATTAAAGTAAGCACTGTTAACTACTAGTAGGTATTGCTAAGTACTATAACTATACAACAAAATGCCTTCAGGGAACTCTACTGCCATGAAACAGAATCCAGTAATGACACAGAGGAACATCACCAACCCAACAGCACGGAAGCTTCTGCTCCCCTACAAAACAAGGAAGAAAACAGACCCTTTGCTTTTAATTATTTGCAATCATTATTCTCCCTTTGATGAGGAGGGATTCAGGTATCTTGTGATGTACACAAGTGAAGAGGAAGATGAACAAATTGCTCTTCACATCTGTCTTTGCACAGTTAAAGGCATGTGGTACGCTCGCTGCCTAATGGGAACACGTCTGCACAGAGATCAGCATTAAGTTCAGAGCACATCTGAAAAGGTAACACGTGCTTTCATATAAAAAGTCAGTATTTTATCCCAGCTGATAGCAATTAGGTAATATCTGCAGTGAAACACTGATCTTCTAAGCCATCCTTAGAGGTACCTGAATTTGAAAGTAGATGCGATGCTCCCAGCTGAAGCAGTTCAAAACATAGGCAGAGACTGAACCTGTATCATCAGTCTCTGATTGACTTGACTACATTTTTTTTTCATTTTATTCTAAAAAGAAACACCAAAAAAGGCAAGAGGGTTTTTTTTCTTTTTTCTTTTTTCCTCTTGTTTATTCATTTCCATATCTGTGTTGGTCTGCCATTTTGGAGAGCTCCATGTTTGATGCCACCTTACTGACAAAATAGCGAAATTTCATCCATTAGAACCAAAACCAAAGATCCTCCAAATCTTATTGAGGACAAAGCTGAGGACTCTGGTACTCAGAGGTCTAATTTCACGTCAGTAGCTTAAGATCCAAAAACAAAGTCCCAAAGCTGGCCTTTCAACACTGCCACCCCCTCCCACACACACTTCAGGCAGCAGCCAAGAATCAGAGTGTTGATGGAACAAGAAGCACAGTTTGATGCCCATCATTTCTTTCTGTTAAAACGTGTGAATCAAAATGCTGTGGGATCTGGGTTTCTGCCCACTCTGCTTGTAAGCATGCATTCAGTCCCATTCAGCTTGACTTGTGAAGGATGGCAGCACCTCGCTTTGGGCTTTTTGCTGGTGAGTTAGTTTGTTTGCTCCCTAAGGAGCCAAGGGATGCCTGCAGCCTGTATGCAACAGCAGCACATTTTGCACAGAACCAAAAGAAATGAATAAGAAGAGCAAAACGGAAGGATTTGTCTGGCTTTATCTATGGGGAACAGGAATGGAATTTCAGATGCCTGCAAATGAACAAGCAAGGTTTAAACCTTAAATAGATTTTCAGCATTTAGATTAGCACTTCTGTCACTGGAGTCAGGGAGCAGTAACAGAGAACGGAAGAGGATCAAGATAAATGCATGCTCTTATATTGCATATGTTGATGCCTCAAAATGCTCAAAGAGCTCTGAAGCAGTGCAGGACTTTGCCAAAGGGACAGAAGCTTTGCAAGAGCCAGTCCTTACTTTGTAATGGTGTTTATTTGGAGTCTCACTTCCACTCTCTGTTACGTCCACTTAACTTCAGGAGTGTCAGCAGTCCTGCTGATTCCAGTGAGGTTTTTCAGGAGCCCAAAGCTCAGCATGAATTCAAACCCTTTGCTGGCTATAAATCATCTGGCAGGGCTGTCCCACTTCTGCCTTGAGAACGATTCAAATGGACTCTGCTTAGGAAATAGCTCCCTCTTCTGCTCTTGTTGAGACCAAGTCCTCTGAAGGAATCTATTGCAAGCTATTAGAACAGCAAGAGGGCACAGTACTGCAGTGGTAATTAACACTGTTTCTTAAGATGCAGATGATCTGAGCAGGTGGGAGCAAACCTCTTGTGTTACACGTCTCAGGGTCTGAGTTTGAGCTGGTAGCCCTCAGCTCTCCTCACGTGCAGCAAAGAGAAACCAGCGGCGATGGGGTCTCTCCAGTGACAAGGAAAGGAGTCCTGACTGGTTTGGGATGTCAAAATTAGCAAGTTAACTCTGAAAAAAATCTTCTCCCTTCCAGTCTCTTCACCTCTTCCCTTTGATTCCCCTCAACAAAAACAGAATCTCGACCTCTTTTAGCCCTTCGTCATATTTTCTTCTACCTTTTTAGTACCACTTTCTTACACGTATTCTTACCTGTGGCCTGATAACCAGCTCTCACTTTTCTTGAGGGCCCTTTCTCTCTTCTCCCTTCCAGTCCCTGAATGTCTGTGCAGGGCACTGACTTTAAGGCTTTTCTCACCGCTGTCTGTACAAAAGCTTGGCAGTGATTTCCTTTCCTCCATCTTGGTCCTCCCTCTTTCGGACAGCAGTTTGATAAAAGAGTCACACGTATCCTTGGAGATGCTCCTTAGCTTCTCAGAAGCTGAACTCACATGCGAACTTGACAAAGTCCTTGAGGCAATCTCTGGGTTTACTTGTGCTGAGCATCCTTTATTGTCTTGGGAGTCGACTTTTGGGGCACTCGGCTCATTTTCCTCATGTTTTTCACCCTTGAGCAGTGCTGTGCTACTGATGCTGGTGGAGCGTTTTGACCTCCTTCTCTGCTGATCCTGCAAAGAAATGCCATATGTTAACATTTGACCACCTTTGCATAAATGGAAAGCTAAAAAACAAGACTCTATCAAGTAGCTAAGGGGCTAAACGATTTCTTTGTTATTAGGAATCAGGCTAAAGAGTAAATTAGGTAACTCTTTTGGATAATAAATAGGAGCAGATACACATTTTTACTTAAAATCTGAATGCTACTACGGATGCTACATACTGTAAAAACTTTCTTTTACCCAAGGACATCAACAAAAAGACCTCATAAAAGCATTATTTGGGGTTGTATTCAGAGAAAGTCAAGACGTATATGATATTTTACTGCCAAAACTGGCTGTTAAAGGTATCTAGTCCTTTTTTCCTGAACCAAAACTCTTTAGAAAAATGCAATTCATTTAGCTTCCAACATTTGCTTCAGTATTAGCTTCAGCATTAAAATACTTCAATTTCTCACTTTTATGAGCTTCATTGGACACAGGGGAAGCTCCCGTCTCTGGGAAAGAAGCGTGAAAGAAAAAAAAAAAAGAGAGAATATTTTTGGAATTGTGATTTAAAAACACCTACTGATGAAATACATCTCGTTTGGACAAGCTTAGAATCACTGCTTTACTGAAAGCAATTTTCAAAGTCCAAAGCTAATGATTAAATGTGGGGTAAAAAAAAAGCCTGAGGAAATCAGGTGCTCCCAAGTGAGGAGCTGTAGACACTTCTGAGGTAAAGAAGCAATTTCCTGAGGAAAATGGAAAATCTCAGCTCTCAAGAGAGATGAGATATCAAAAATGGAGAAGACTTAATAAAGAAATGCTGTAATGAAAGATGGCAGCTCTGTGTGCAGCGGCTGTTCCTCAAACAGCTTGAATTTCTGAATTAAGCAGAAGCACTGCCCTAAATCAGCCCATCTTTTCATACTGCAGATTTAATGGATCAGCACGAAGAAGCAATGCTAATATTCTTCACAAATTACTTCATCTCAGAAGGTCATATTCAAAATCTCTGGTCATTCCCAGTACTTGGTCATGTTCAAGAAGCTGCTAGATGTTGTGCTGAGGGACGTGGTTTAGTGGTGAAATGCTGGTGACAGGCAGATGGTTGCACTGGATGATCTTGGAGGTCTTTTCCAACCTTGGTGATTCTATGGTTTATGATTTGGAAGGGTTAACAATCACCTCTGGAGAACTTGCTCCTGGTCCAGCCATCGTGCCTCTGACAATGAGACCAGACCTGGGCCTCTGCTTGTCCTTCACTGTGGCTTGCAGCTCTTCAGAAATCACTGCTGATTTTAAATCCTCTTGACTACCCTTTAACTTCTTATCCCCATCAGAGGTTAAGTGGCTGTTGCATATTGTCCCCGCCTGGCATTTTTCACTTCTGTGTTGATGTTTTCTGAATTGAAGGGTTTTATCAGGCGGATTCTCAACATCGTGTCTACAATAAAGAAACAACGTTATAAACAACGAAATGATGAATGATGAAATCAATGAAAACAGCACCTCGGCTAATTAAAGCACTGCTTTCAAGCCACTTGTTACGTGGAAGTGGCACTCAAATACAATTACTTGGAATTGGAATATAGGTAGGTCTGCAAGAGATCATTTCAATATCATTAGCATGCATGACAGTTCGTGACAATACCACTTTTGTCAAGTCAGATGGGTCTGGAGCTACCACAAACAGTTCCCACTCCTTTCCCACCCGCTTTGAACAGCCCTTAGAAAATTTGATCATGTTTTTGTCAGCATCTTTTGAACTGACTTCCTTCACACTTCGGGGGAATGGCTTCAAGTTGCACTAGAGGAGGTTCAGGTTGGATATTAGGAACAATTCCTTCTCTGAACGAGTGGTCAGGCACTGGAATGGGCTCTGCAGGCAGGTGGGGAGTCACCATCCCTAAGGGTCTTCAGGAAGTGTTTAGATGTGGTACTAAGGGACATGGTTTTGTGGGGAAATATTGGTGGATGATGGAGTGGATCTTCTTGGAGGGCTCTTCCAACTTTGGTGATTCTGTGACTCTGTGTTTCTGTGATAATCTGGGTAACCTGAAAATGCTAGCCTTTTTTTACAATAACTGCCCTTTAGCTTTTGTGTTTAACTCCAGGATGTTTTTCTCCATCATATTTCATAGCTAAGCAATTCCGTGAGCTGAAGCATCTTGTATCACATAAACATTCATTTCACCTAGCCAGTTAAAACTGTTGGGTCTTTTCTGTAGTTAGTTATGCCTTATACTGCAAAGACATCCTTCATATTTAAACAGAAGGGTGCAGGATCAGTCTCTGAGACCATTAGGAAATCTGAGGACTGCTACTCCTTACCTAGGACCATTTGTCATTGCCAAAGGGCACAAAGTAGGTATCATTTTAACAGTTGTAGACGTTAAAAAAATATATTCTTGAGGTCATTTAAAAGGAAAGAGTTTGAAGCTGAACTCTTACATAAGGAATTTGTCTGATTATAATCTCCACTCCTGCTTGCCTTGTTAAAACTTAACCAGGCAGTTATGATTAAAATCATCATAACTATTAACATTAAAATTAAAATTATTTTCAGGCTCTGGCTGCTTGACTGTGGTCTGATTTCTCCATGGCCAGAGGGATGGAAACAGCTTAGGGGAATCACAGAACCCTGCTTCTGCCACACTATTTATCCTCCTGATTCTTTTTGTAGGTAGAGGAAAAGACATGACCACAAAGGCATAAAGTAGTAAATAGCAGGGACTCCCCTCATGAGCACCAGCCCCACACACCATGATGGCAGCAGCCCTTCCTCACATACATGTGCTGTCCCCCCACCCCTCACTCATTTGTGTTACATTTGCACATGCAGCTTTTCCTGCGTTTATCTGTAAGTATACAGCATGCATCTTCTTGGGGAAAAGGTGCCAGTGTGGGGCTGTGTGCGATTAACTCAAATACCGCAACACCAACAGTTCCCACCCCAAAGGGAAACCACTGGGGGACTAAAACCATAGAGTGCTCTCCAGCAAAAGGCAGCGCGGCCCCTCAACGCATCACTTCCGGAACAATGAAGGCCTCTCTGGCCCGGCCGCAGCGCTCTCTCTGTGGTCTCTTCCTCCCACTCTGGCCTTATGGGCAGGGCTGGCAATGCGCATGCGCCCTCCGGGCTCTCAGTAGCTGTGAGGGGCGGGGGAGTTCCGCCATTTTGTTGGGGGTGGGAAAGGGCCGCGTTGCTGCTATTTGATATAAGAGAGACGTGTTAGGGGCGTCCTAGGAAGCAGTAGAAAAAGGGACAAGGGCAGAAGCTGGAAAAGAGGGCGTTACAAACACAGGGGAAGAACTATCAGAGTGATGGAGCGCTGCAACTGGCTGCCAGAGAGCTGGGTCTCCTTATATTCAGGATCTGTCTGGGCACCTTCCTGCACTGCACATTGTAAGGAACCTGCTTTGGGGTGGTTGGACTCGATGATCTCCACAGGTCCCTTCCAGCCCCTGCAGCGTCTGCTCAGTTCTTAGCTGGTTGTGTCAGTTCTTGTTTCCCTTCCCCACTGAGCAAGGACTTGTGGAGTTCTGCAAGTGCTAACGCTTAGGAGCAGTGGGTTTGAGCTGCTTTTACAACGGGGAATAAAATTAGGGGTATTCCCTGAGAGTCAAAGCTGGGAAGTCGAATTTCTGTGCTGTGCCCATTTTAAAGGCTTTCTGTTGAAGCACAGCTGGTGCTGTTGCTCTGAGATGCTAATAAATGGCACTGGAAGACTTGGCTGCATGCTGTTTCCATATGCTTTTGTTGATGGAAATAACTTACGCTATTGGCAGTAATGCTGAATGTAAGATGGTAGTGCTTGGTTTAGGCTCTAAGCATTGATGTATCTGTAGTTTGAGCGCAGGTGGTTCGTTTCTTATCAGACTATACTGAATACTTTCCAGTTTACCAGGCATAAAAGCTCAGATTTGTTCATCTTAATTCCGTCTTTCAGCTACTGAAGAACATGCAAGTCTTTCTAATTGCCAGGGAGCATAAAAGAGCATTTTTTAAGGAAGATAGCAGTAATGCAAACTTTGTGACAGCTCACCGTGTGAAGATGGTGTTGCTGAGGATGTTGTAGAATCACAGAATATCCTAAGCTGGAAGGGACCAGTAAGGGTCAGAGAATCACAGAACGGCCTGGGTTGCAAAGGAGCACGATGCTCATCCAGCTCCAACCCCCTGCTGTGTGCAGGTCGCCAACCAGCAGCCCAGGCTGCCCAGAGCCACATCCAGCCTGGCCTTGAATGCCTGCAGGGATGGGGCATCCACAGCCTCCTTGGGCAGCCTGTTCCAGTGCCTCACCACCCTCTGGCGGAAAAACTTCCTCCTAATGTCTGACCAGAGGATTAAGAATCATGGAGTCCAACTCCTGCACAGGACCACCCCAAAATCAGACCATATATACCATACAAACCATTCAACGCTATTTCACTTAATGGGAAGAAGACTGGCCAAAGCAAAGAGGAGTAAGGGAGTACCTGAAGGTTTGAGTTTTGCTGTCATGAGGCAGGCTAGCATTTCCACATGCACGTTCTTCATCTGAGAGGTCAGGTGGATGGGATGCTGAGCTCTTACATTGAGAAGCTGCCAGTGCAGAACTTGAACTGGTGCTCCTGGAGGTTCCACGGTGCTCAAGGAAATAATTAGTAATGATTTCAAGGAGTGTTTTCAGAGGGTTCTCCTTGGCCTGTTTGAGAAGGAAAATAAAGTTTTTGGTTGCTGCTGAAAACTTGTTAGTCTGCAATCTAAGAAGCAGTCATTATACTGTACAGTGGCTGAACATGTTCACAGTTTCCTAGAGTCTGGTGGTTATAAATGACATGGCTGTACAAACAACGCAGGAAGGAATCACAGAACCACAGAATCACTGAGGTTGGATTGGATGATCTTGGAGTTCTCTCTTGAGAGAGACCAGCACTTGAGGTTGGTTGGATGACACCTCCAACATCATCCGGTCCAACCATCCACCTTCCACCAATACATCCACTAAACCACGTCCTTCAATACAACATCTGGACGTTTCTTAAACACCTCCAGGGACAGTGGCTCCACCTCCAGGGAAGGAGATGTCAGCTAGGAAATATCGAGAGCTTAAAGGTGTGTTAAATGAAGTAATAAGGTGTGATTGCAAAGGAAGTCCTGGAACTCCTGGAGTTGGCAAGGATTCAATCCCTTGGACCTCATGAAATTCATGGCTCTGCTGCGAGTTTGCACATGCAGTGTATTCATCAAACACGAGTTGCTGGAGTCAATTGCATCATCCTGCAGGCTGTTGGCTAGACATTCCTGCCTTAAGCTGTGAATGGTTAGGATTGGATCTAAGCAATAATTGGAATTCAGCTACTGATGGCTTTGACATAAAATATTGTGGCCTGTATTACATGTCAAGGAATGATAAATGCTGAGTGCAGTTCTGTCTGTCAGCTCATACATAAAGTTGTAAATAGAAATGGAAATGCAGAGCTATTTCCAAAATGGAATGTTCTAGATGTAATGATGTAAAAGATGTTAAAGTGAATAAGTGCTCCTGGTTTATTGGAAGCTGCCTTTAGTAACGAGGGCTCACTGCCAGGTTCTCAGCTTAGTCCTGTGAGCTGTAATGCAGTCTCACCATGGAGGTGAGATGGAGACTTCTAAGCGTATCCACAGCAGTGCAGCACCAGACCCAGGCTCCAGTTCTCTGCACTGTGCACACATACGGCTGCCTCGATCTGTTTGACCCAGTTCTACGTGATCTGAGACCAGGCTGTGAGGAGAAGCACCTCTTCCTTTACCTTGTTCTGTTTGTACAGGGAGTGCAAATGCAGGACGTTTCGAAGCTCGTTCCTGTTATTGATGCTGAGTGCAGAACGTGGCAGCTCCCGGTCCATGGTGCTGATGGTTTTCTTCAGACCCTGAGGACAAGCAGGAGATTTTAGAGTCACAGAATCATTAAAGGGCATAAATCACCCCTAGGACACCAGCCTATCCCTACCATGACTCCCAGTGCCACTTCTCCACAGTCACTGATAGTGCAGTCTGGATATGCTAGATTCCTAGTGCTTCCACCGGCACAGGTTGCACAAGGAGGCTGTGGATGCCCCATCCCTGCAGGCATTCAAGGCCAGGCTGGATGTGGCTCTGGGCAGCCTGGGCTGCTGGTTGGCGACCTGCACACAGCAGGGGTTGGAGCTGGATGATGTTTAAGGTCCTTTTCAACCCAGGCCTGCTTGGATTTGGGAGGAGAAGGAAACAGAACAGCTAACAAAAGTTTTTAGTGCTGACTTTGTTGGATGCAAGCTGAAGCTTCTGGATACATTAAAATGGAAGTAATTACAAGCTAAGCCTTAAAACCTGCACTTTAATTATACAGTTTTGCATTTCTACAGCCCGGAGATGTAAAAGGAGTTCTGGTGGAAATGCTGCCTGTGCAGAATTTACCAAACTTGGGAGAACAAACAAAACAGGGCTACTCCGTGCGGCTGACTGCAGCTGCTTAACAGCTCCATAAGATTGGCCTGTGCAATTAATTGCATTTGAGCTACGTAATTACAAACTCTGAATTTCAGGTGCACTTTGTTTTTTGGCAGGTTTCTTAGAACCCTCATCCTGCTCTTCACCCTGTTATCAGGGTAACCTGACCAGGTTGGAAATCAGCTGGATCCTCATAGCATCAACTGGTTTAGGCTCTTCCTGCAGCTCGGTACAGAGAATGAGGCAGTGCTGCAATTAAAGTGCAAGGAATGATAAGTTGCACGGTCGGTTTTACCAGCAGAGCATCCCTTTCCTTTTATGCTTTCAGTCAGCACTGTGTTTATTTAAGTCAGAAATGTGAAGGTGTTTCATTTGAGAAACCTCTGCAGTCAGGTACTGTGAGGCATTGCTCTGCTAATGCTGGAACTTAAAGGCAAGTGATTAATTCTGCATTGGAAATCATGTCAGCAAGATTTCAACACTGAAAATAGGCATTTAAAAGCTGGATGCAGGACAGGTGAGAGAAAGCAAGGCAGGCACGATGCTTCTTAGCACAACTGCGTCTTGTGTTCTGTATGAGGCAACTATTCCTGAGCTGGGGGGACACGTGCAATATTTCCTTTGGATTCTGCATGAATACAAAGTAGGAGGCGATTTCACCTGGAAACACGAAGGTGTCTTTTCCCCAGCTCACAGCCCACATCCCATTTCCTTCCTTTACATCAGTTCTGTAACAAATACAGCGGTCACTTTCTTCTCCTTCCCCCCCGGACAAATCCGCTGCCTGCAGAGCCCCAGTAAAAGACGTCTGTTTTCTGTATGACCGCTTCACAGAATCACAGAATGGCCAGGGTTGGAAGGGACCTCAAGGATCATGAATCTCCAACCCCCCTGCAACATGCAGGGCCACCAACCTCCACGTTTAATGCTAAACCAGGCTGCCCAGGGCCCCATCCAACCTGGCCTTGAACACCTCCAAAGACAGAGCATCCACAGCCTCTCTGGGCAGCCTGTTCCAGCACCTCACCACTCTCTGGGTAAAGAATTTCCCCCTGATGTCCGACCTAAATCTCCCCTCCTTCAACTTAAAACCATTTCGCCTCTTCCTACACATATCAACCCTTTCAAAGAGTTGATTCCCCTCCTGTCTGCAGGCTCCCTTTAGGTACTGATAGGCTGCAATGAGGTCACCCTGCAGCGTTCTTTTCTCCAGGCTGAACAAGCCCAACTCCCTCAGCCTGTCATCATAGGGGAGATGCTCCAGTCCCCTGATCATCCTAGTGGCCCTCCTCAGGACCCTCTCCAACAGCTCCCTGTCTTTTTTGTACTGTGGGCTCCACACTTGGATGCAGTACTCCAGATAGGGCCTCACAAGAGCAGAGTAGAGGGGGGACGATCACCTCCCTGTCCCTGCTGGCCACCCCTCTGCTGATGGAGCCCAGGATTCCATTTGCCCTCCGAGCTGCAAAAGCACACTGCTGGCTCATACTAAGTTTTTCATCTATCAGGACCCCTTCCTTTTGTTTTGTTTTCGTATTAGCGTGCATCACTTGTAAAAAACAAGATAGGCGATGAACGAGGGGTGACAAAAAAAAGCTTAAAACCGCATTTCTTGGCTTAAGCTTTTTTTTTTTCCGCAGGCACGTGCAGGAATGAATCAGGTTTTCGCAGGCAGGCCGGCAGCCGCCTTCCACGTTCGGAAACCGGCGGGCATTGTGGGAGATGTAGTGCAGATCCGTGCCCCGCAGCTCGCTGCTCCGCACGGCTATCTGCCCTACAGCCCCCAGCCGGCGTCCCCCCCTCCCCTCCCCTCTTCGCCTTTTAACGACGGGCGTTTCTCCTGCGCCCTTCCCGCTCATCCCAGCCAGAAAATCAAGACTTATTTACCTTTCTACTGAGAAATTCTCTCACCAGAGATGCGGCCACTTCTTCCACGAAGGAATTGTCCATTTTTAGCCCGCACTCTGCTCGGGGGGGGTTTCCTTGGCTCGGTCTGACCGATCCCCCATGGCAGCCCGGCCGGGCGATGCGGCCCCTGGAGCAGCTCGTCCTGCGTGCCGCCGGATCCCAGCAACAGCAGAGCAGCAGAACTCCTCCCCGTGGGACGAGAGCCGAGCTGGCCGCTCAGCAGCGGGCGCCCTGATAACTGCTTGTAAAACCCGAGAGCTGCTCGGGGATAACGTTCGGGAAATGAATGTTGGAAGTTGAGAAGCTGAATCACAGAATCACAGAATCACAATCAGTGAAGGATTTTCTGATTTGGGGTTGCTTTGGTTGTTTGTTTGTTTTTAAATCGTAGAATGGCTTGAGTTGGAGGGGACCCACAGGGGTCACCGAGTCCAACTCCTAAGTTGCTGAGAGAAGCACAGTTATGTGCAAGCTATCACTCCTGTATGAATGCTACTTTCAATCATGTTTGTTTATTTGGTAAGATTGCACTTTTGTTAAATACTGCTGCATTTCTGTTGTATTATACTTCATCTCTCCTACTGGCAACGACTAAAGTGGGAACACCCATCCATTCCATGGGCAACTGACCTGGTGCCTGCTTTAAGGGCTGGCAACCCTACCCACAGCACAGGGCTTGGAGCCAGGTGGTCTTTGAGATCCCTTCCAACCCAACTATTCTGAGATTCTATGAGTGCAGTCTTTCCTTTCAGGTTGAAGCTACATTATAGACACTACTACAGTGTACTAACAGGAGGGATGGTGTTGAGTCATGCTTTGAGCCTGGGGACCTGATGTAGGTTGAGAGAGAGGAGAGGACCTCCAGAGGACATGGAATGTGAGGATTAAATTAGATTAGATTGCTCAGGGTAGCAGTGTCCAGGGATGGAGATTTTGCATTCTGGACAAACTCTTTAAGTATTTGACCACTGTTAGCTGACCAGTTCATAGAAAGTTCATAGAATCACAGAATCATTACAGTTGGAAAAGACCTCTGAGATCATCCAGTCCAACTGACCACCCACCTCCAGTCCTACTCATTGAACCATGTCCCTAAATACCACATCTACCATTTCTTCAACACCTCCACGGTTGGTGACCCCACCATTCCCTCTGGGCAGCCCATTCCAATGCCTGATTGCTCGTTCAGAGAACTTTTTCCTAATAACCAACCTTGTTACCCAGTTAAAGTTTCTTCTGCTGACAATTTGTCCAAAACTGGTAACTGGTAACTGGTGAGCGGTCTGGAGCACAAACCTTATGAGGAGCGGCTGAGAGAGCTGGGATTGTTCAGTGTGGAGAAGAGGAGCTCAGGGCAGACCTCATTGCACTGTACAACTTCCTGAAGGGAGGCTGTGGTGCAAAAGGGTCTGGCCTCTTCTCCCAGGCAAATAGTAGGACCCGAGGAAATGGCCAGAAGTTGTACCAGAGGAGGTTTAGG